ATTCGTAGCCTTTTCATGCTCGCCTCTGGTTTTGTCGACACGCATCACAAACACACGCACAGCAACAACCGCCATTCGCCACTAAGTGGCGAAAACATCACCGTGGCGCTTGTGCCAGGCTGTGTACACTTTGAGGCCACGTGAAGTGTTGAACACCTGCCGGCAGGAGGTCACGGGACAGACCCAAGTGCCATGGGTTGACTGACTGAGATGACTGGCCGATGCACCACCTGTGCCCCTTACTGTGCCAACTTTCTCCGATCCTTGTTGTGAGCGTCGCTCCTCCGCCCTCCGTTGTTGTTGCTGGAGGGCGACTGCCTCCAACTGCCCAGTTGCGTCCTTCATGAGCCTCCTCCACAGAGGCCGATCTTGACACCGCTGGTACCGGTCATCAGCAAGTCCACTCAGCTCACACACAGATACACACACTCATACATACGTACAGTGAGGGAAAAAAGTATTTGATCCCCTGCTGATTTTGTACGTTTGCCCACTGACAAAGAAATGATCAGTCTATAATTTTAATGGTAGGTTTATTTGGACAATGAGAGACAGAATAACAACAACAAAATCCAGAAAAACGCATGTCAAAAATGTTATAAATTGATTTGCATTTTAATGAGGGAAATAAGTATTTGACCCCCTCTCAATCAGAAAGATTTCTGGCTTCCAGGTGTCTTTTATACAGGTAACGAGCTGAGATTAGGAGCACACTCTTAAAGGGAGTGCTCCTAATCTCAGCTTGTTACCTGTATAAAAGACACCTGTCCACAGAAGCAATCAATAAATCAGATTCCAAAGTCTGCACCATGGCCAAGACCAAAGAGCTCTCCAAGGATGTCAGGGACAAGATTGTAGATCTACACAAGGCTGGAATGGGCTACAAGACCATTGCCAAGCAGCTTGGTGAGAAGGTGACAACAGTTGGTGCGATTATTCGCAAATGGAAGAAACACAAAAGAACTGTCAATCTGCCTCGGCCTGGGGCTCCATGCAAGATCTCACCTCGTGGAGTTGCAATGATCATGAGAACGGCGAGGAATCAGAACTACACGGGAGGATCTTGTAACATACTACGCCGTGAAGGACTGAAATCTTGCAGCGCACGCAAGGTCCCCCTGCTCAAGAAAGCACATATACATGCCCGTCTGAAGTTTGCCAATGATCATCTGAATGATTCAGAGGACAACTGGGTGAAAGTATTGTGGTCAGATGAGACCAAAATGGAGCTCTTCGGCATCAACTCAACTCGCCGTGTTTGGAGGAGGAGGAATGCTGCCTATGACCCCAAGAACATCATGCCCACCGTCAAACATGGAGGTGGAAACATTATGCTTTGGGGGTGTTTTTCTGCTAAGGGGACAGGACAACTTCACCGCATCAAAGGGACGATGGACGGGGCCATATACCGTCAAATCTTGGGTAAGAACCTCCTTCCCTCAGCCAGAGCATTGAAAATGGGTCGTGGATGGGTGTTCCAGCATGACAATGACCCAAAACACACGGCCAAGGCAACAAAGGAGTGGCTCAAGAAGAAGCACATTAAGGTCCTGGAGTGGCCTAGCCAGTCTCCAGACCTTAATTCCATAGAAAATTTGTGGAGGGAGTTGAAGGTTCGAGTTGCCAAACGTCAGCCTCTAAACCTTAATGACTTGAGGAAGATCTGCAAAGAGGAGTGGGACAAAATCCCTCCTGAGATGTGTGCAAACCTGGTGGCCAACTACAAGAAACGTCTGACCTCTGTGATTGCCAACAAGGGTTTTGCCACCAAGTACTAAGTCATGTTTTGCAGAGGGGTCAAATACTTTTTTCCCTCATTAAAATGCAAATCAATTTATAACATTTTTGACATGCGTTTTTCTGGATTTTGTTGTTGTTTTTCTGTCTCTCACTGTTCAAATAAACCTACCATTAAAATTATAGACTGATCATTTCTTTGTCAGTGGGCAAACGTACAAAATCAGCAGGGGATCAAATACTTTTTTTCCCTCACTGTACGTACATCACACATACACACGTAACACGTACCTAAACACTCACGTGCATGCATGTGTCTACATTTAATTTGTAACTCCACTGGCAGTATTCGCAAAAAAAAACAATATGACTAATGTGACAAGTAAAACTGGCAAAATTCGTTCGTGAATAAATGTTATATCTGAAACAGCCAACGTAAATTTGGATTGTAGTAAAACAGCATCAACAATTTCAGGCAATTCCACAAAATAAAATGTAACATTGGTCACATGTGTAAGTGGCCAATGTGATGGGTAGTTGCCAGAGTGGTTTGTGCACATTATCAGTCAAAGCTACTCGGTAATTTCTTCCCTTTCACACCAGTGGTGAATGCTCTCTGACCCGGGTGTGGGTTTCCCTTAGGTTGGCTTGATCTATAATGAACACCTTGTATTGTGCGTGAATACCAGAGCTTGTTAGTAACCTTTTCACACTTTTACACAAGCAACAACATTTGCCCTAACACATATATAAATTGTGAAAGGTGGCTGATTTAAATACAGTGTTGTCATCTTTTCAATGGTCATGAAAGTTTATCTTGAAACATATGGCTGTACGTTCAGCACTCATGAAGACATTTTAACTTCATAATCGTCATCTTCAGTCAACGGATATATGTCACCTGTCATCGATTATAATCCATCATCATATCCACTATTGAATAAAGGCCTTCCCATGACGTTGCCATCCATTATTAGGAAGCCACTGGAGCTCTTCAGTTTTAAGTCTAGATTGAAAACGAATATCTATAGAACTGCTTCTTGTGTTGAGTTTGTTCTCCTTCCCTCCCACACCTCCGATTAGCACGGTTGGCTATTTAACGGGCGAAAGAAGTTCAACGTACATTCTGAAATAAGTTCAACATACGTACATCATGGCTCTCAGATGCCCACAATCAATTTTACTTCTTGCACCATCTCCACGATGGTCACCCTTGTCCATCATCCAACATCTCGATTCGAATTCAACAGCAGTTGTCTTAAGTTAGATCGGTTTTGTTTCAGAGATACTCTCAATTTGGTTGTTTAAGCTGGCAAGTAATGAACAGTTGTTAGTATCTAACAGACGTTAGTATCTAACAGGTGTTATGTAAAACATCTACAACAACAGAAGTCCCCCAACCCTGGTCTCGGGTCCTGCCTCCCGAAACAGAAAACGTGGCCTCAGACTCAAACGGGCGCCACGGTGGCTAGGAGATGTTAACTACCTCGCCAGTTATACAGGAGAGCATGGGTTTGATCCCGATCCTGACGATGCCTGTATATTTGGAGTTTGCAAGTTTCTCTCCCTGTGCTCGCGTGGATTTTTCTCCGGGCCCTCCGGTTTTCCCCCCTCCACATTTAGAATCAACAACGTGTATTTTGAGTATTTGGCTGCTATCAATTTCCACGTGATGATCCACTTTGTTCAGCTATCAGTTGTGGCCTGGTTGCTTCTGAAAAATAAGTTAATAGCTAAGTCGACTGTACCTGTTTAGTTTAATTTGCATATATATTTTAAGTGATTGTTTACCTTTCCGATGCTTTGCCCTCTTCTCGTGTTTGTGCAATGTTTTTGTCGGAACGTTGTGACCCATTGTGACTGGACATCTGTGAAGAAATAGCTTCACAGCTCATCGGATTCATCCAGTATAAATAAGTATTCTGACTACCGGCCATTATTCGTGGCGGTTGTGTCGGAGACCTCATCTTCCCACCTTCAAATCCCCATCACTGTTCGCGCAGCGGATTGGCTGTGGACGAGACGCAAGGGCGCCGTTGATTAAACTACGAACGGGCACGGTGGGGGGGGGGTGGGGGGGGGAGCTGTGAGGAGCGAGCGGCTTGGGAAGAAGTTGGCGGGACGGTGCCGCGAGAACTGGGGCCGCGGGGTCCCCTCGTCGACACGGCGTGTTCTCACGATGGCAGGAGGGCATGGGCTTGGGGGGGGGGGGGTGCACGTTTAACGAGCGGAAGTCTCCTCGGAGGGAAATAACCACGGCGGTGACGGATCATTGTCTCGCTCAGCCCTCGGATGGAAATTGCCCGATGAAGCGTTACGGTTTTGACGGCTCGCACAAACACCGGGTTGTTTGATTTAACTATTCGCGGCAAGGCTCTGCAGCGACACGAGGAAATAGTAAAGGTGTGAATGTGTACGGGCTTACTCGCGGCGGGGGACGGGTGCAGTTTCCAAAGTTGATGTCTTAGCTGAACGTCTTGGCAACATTGCGATCATGAAATTACGTGTTTTTTCATCCGTTCAGAGATTGTTTTACCGATATTAAACTCGGGTTCAGTTATGTTTAATTGACTATTGACGATGTGCACGGGGGGGGGCGGGGGCGGGTGGGGGGGGCATCGTACGGTGCACAGCAAAAGGTCCCTTTGCAAAGAGAAAAACACTGCCTCTTTAAACACAAAATTCGAAAAGCACGCAGCGGCAAACATTTCAGAGACTCTTACATGATCGAGAGGTTTTCTTTGTTTCTCATCTTCATCCCATAACTTGAATTATATATTTTTATGAGCATGAAAGCCTGCCGCCGGTCAGGATGTGCGGGCTCTAAACGTCGCTCAGCGGACAGATTGCACTTCAACAAGATGTTGGCATCTTCATGAATAGATAACGCAACTGCTTGTTTGTGATCGCGGCACCTCTGAAAGAGCACAGTGGGAAATTTTGCGCGTGGCCAAAGGGGCTTTTAAACCTCGTGCATTGAAATGCTGACGCAAGACCGACCGATTCTCCGCCTGGTGTGAAACTCCACGCAGGACGCGCCGGTCGCGACGGGCAGCAGTGACGCCGTGCGTGTCGCCGTGCGTGTCGCTGTGCGTGTCGCTGTGCGTGTCGCCGTGCGTGTCGCTGTGCGTGTCGCTGTGCGTGTCGCCGTGCGTGTCGCCGTGCGTGTCGCTGTGCGTGTCGCCGTGCGTGTCGCCGTGCGTGTCGCCGTGCGTTTCGCCGTGTGTGTCGCCATGCGTGTCGCCGTGCGTGCCCCTTTGCAGGGCCAGCGCACTGTGTACCGTCTCACGCTGGTGAAGGCGTGGAACGTGGAGGAGGTCACCGCGTACGCCAACCTGGTTGCTCTCGGAAATCCCGATTTCATCGAGGTCAAGGTGAGCTCTGCGTTCGGGCCACGAGTCCGCGTGCGTGAGAGACGACCCTTTTTCAGGAGACTACCGTGTAGGTTTTTCGCGGTTGTGCCGCGCGTCGATCTGCACGACGCCCCGACGTTTCGCTCACCAAGCACGTGCCGGGAGCTTCCTCTTCCGCAACTGAAATTTTAAAGCCTCTCGGGACTCCTCAGATTTCGTTTTTGTTGCCTACGCCAGCCTGATGTTCCTCAAGGGTTTCGTTCCCGAAGAAGCTCCCGGCACACGGAGCGAAACGTCGGACATGGTGCCGAACAGCACTGTGGCTCAATGTGGCGGCGCATCGGAAAGCCGTCCGCCGGCGTGGCTTGCAAGGCGGCGGTGACTTTAGTCGCCGTTTTCCCACGCCGCGTGGAGCGTCCCCCCTGCCAGAACAAAGTGTGGACATAGACGTTCTCCGTTAGGCATTTTATACACTCCAGGAGGATGATGGGTCATCCTGAGCCCTACCAGGAGTTGAACTCGCAAAACAAAAAAAACCTGAGTTGCGTGCTCTTGCCACCTGGTCAGATAGTGAAGACATTCAAGATAGTTAATGTGTAAAATGGTGAACACAACATGGTGCATAATAAATACCATTCGTCATTAATGGAAAAATACTGGGCGACAGTATCAGGCAATGGACCTTGTTCAGGGCGCTGGGAGGGCGCAGACACTTCATTGTTAAAGAACACACTTCACACCGTTGCGGCCCTAATAACAACTGGGAAATGTTACGTTTTAAAACTGAAAAATTGTACCCGTTGAAAATGTCCATTTGCGCAGGTCCCGCCACAATCTCTGCTCCAAAGAAGAGCCACCGCCCCGAGTGTCAGCCCGCCGGGTTCTTCTTTGCAGTTGTAATGCAATGCCATTGACAAACGTCGTGATTTATTTTGATGCGTTTACGATAAAAATTCAACCCGTTGAGGTTGAAAGATAAATACCGACGGAAACGCTTGCGCACTTACATGGACGCGTGGCGTCTGTTGCCAGCACGCACGCATCTATAGCCACAATTTCAAACGCGCGTGGCACAGACCCGCGCGCGGAATCTCGCTGGGTCCCACGCGCGGAATCTCGCTGGGCCCCGCGCACAGAATCTCGCTGGGTCCCACACGCGGAATCTCGCTGGGCCCCGCGTGCGGAATCTCGCTGGGCCCCGCACGCGGAATCTCGCTGGGCCCCGCACGCGTAATCTCGCTGGGCCCCACACGCGGAATCTCGCTGGGCCCCGCGTGCGGAATCTCGCTGGGCCCCGCGTGCGGAATCTCGCTGGGCCCCGCGTGCGGAATCTCGCTGGGCCCCGCGTGCGGAATCTCGCTGGGCCCCGCGCGCGGAATCTCGCTGGGCCCCGCGCGCGGAATCTCGCTGGGCCCCGCGCGCAGAATCTCGCTGGGCCCCGCGCACAGAATCTCGCTGGGCCCCGCGCACAGAATCTCGCTGGGCCCCGCGCACAGAATCTCGCTGGGCCCCGCGCACAGAATCTCGCTGGGCCCCGCGTGCGGAATCTCGCTGGGCCCCGCGCGCAGAATCTCGCTGGGCCCCGCGCACAGAATCTCGCTGGGCCCCGCGTGCGGAATCTCGCTGGGCCCCGCGCGCAGAATCTCGCTGGGCCCCGCGCACAGAATCTCGCTGGGCCCCGCGTGCGGAATCTCGCTGGGCCCCGCGCGCAGAATCTCGCTGGGCCCCGCGCACAGAATCTCGCTGGGCCCCGCGCACAGAATCTCGCTGGGCCCCGCACGCGGAATCTCGCTGGGCCCCGCACGCGGAATCTCGCTGGGCCCCACGCGCGCTTTGCTCGCTCACCGACCGCGGCGCGCGCTGCCTCCGCCAGGGCGTGACGTACTGCGGTGAGAGCTCGGCCAGCAGCCTGACGATGGCGAACGTGCCGTGGCACGAGGAGGTGGTGGGCTTCGTGCGGCAGCTGGCCGCGATGCTGCCCGACTACGAGCTGGCGTGCGAGCACGAGCACTCCAACTGCCTCCTGCTGGCGCACAAGCGGGTACGTGCGCCGAGCGGCGTGTGTGGACCGGGCTGGGTTTTGTATGTGTGTGTGCGTGCACGTGCCTCACCGATAGTACGGACCCGGCGGCCCGAGTTCGATTCCTGCTCACGGTCAACGCCAGTGACGATTATCTGTACCAGTTCTGGGCCTCCGCTAGGTCGACTCAGCCTCAAATGAGTACCCGGTGCGGTGTGTAAACATCGCCAATGGGGAGACAATGGCGGCCGGGCGTGGTGCTGGTCACCCACCCCTCGTGGGCTGTGCCGGCCTTCATAGGTGCTACTCGCTAACAGCACTTGCCCCAACAGTTTGTTAAGGCTACACGGGGGATCTTTGTCTTGGCCTCACCGATGTTCCATTGGGAGATGGGTACCACCGTGCCGGAGTGAAGTTGGTGGAAGCTGTGCTCCAGGCGAACAGCCGGGGGGAGTTGAAGTGGGACCTTCGGGAGGCTGAGTCTGCTGATCGCAGTGCCCGGGGTGGTTTTCTGCAGCCTCGGTCAAACGTTGGGGCGCGAACCCTTGGATGTGCCTTGATCATAGGGATTGTTTTTACCTTATTAAAATAAAGCCGTGTGTTTACCCATACGCCCATGCAGTATTTCCAGAACCAGTGGGATGTGCTCGTTGTTCCTACACCCCCGCAGGTTGTAATTGGGCATCTTCGTTTTGAATCAGCTGCAACCGGTGCAGGTACAGGAACGGGAAGGTCTGCAGAAAGTGTAAATGCAATAGTCTTAAGTGCATGCAATCGCGTTACAAGTGCGTGCAAGAGAGTCGCGAGTAAGATTTTTTGAGAGACAGAGAGATTTATCTAATATTTGATCCAAGTTGCGCGTCGACCAACACGCACCGTGCTGATCTCCCAGATGTTTACGACGGGGAAATGGGACAAAAGCGCAATTTGTTTGAGTGTTTGGGACATCGCGCTCACGGGCGGGTCGTATGCACATTTTTGGGTGAGCGTCGAGCAGCGGCTCATTGCGTTGCGTCGCAGGCGGTGCCGTGCGGCCTGTGACGGGTAATGGGAGCGTAATGGCGTGCTCCAGTTGTTTTTCGTGCGGACTGAGCGGAGGGCTTGGGGGTCGGGTGACTTATCGGCAACTTTTGTTTAATTATTCCGGGTGATCCCCGCGTGCCTGTCACCGGCAATTCTTTGCACATCGCCACCATTCATCTGCGTGGGAATCCCGCCGGTTATTGCTCAAGTCTGCTGTGTGCCAGGTGCAACTTATTTACATGACGAATATCCGAAGGCAGAGAGACTCTCTTCGACAAATTCTCGAAACACTTTGAGACTTTCTGAAATAAGAGGGTTATCATCATTGCAATTGGCAAACTATTGAGACTCCCATGCTTGCTTATATAGCAGAAACATTTTTCCAAAGCCGTAATTGTGCGGTGTGAAAGAAGTTCAACGTACACACGTACATACTAAATAGACGTACATTTTTACACACTTCATCTGTAGGATCTGCCAGAAGCATGGACGTGACAGGCACGTGTGTTGGCACCAATGACATTGGCTGCGATGACCCCTTGAACTGCCACTTGACCCATCCGCGTGGAGGAATCACTACAACAAGGCGTGAGAATCGGAGCTCGTGTCGGCAATATTCCCTCGGACTCAACTATACCAGACGTCGACCACCGTGAACAGTGATCAGACGCGTGCACTGCTATTGGTAATGAATGAGAGACAGAATGCAACTGTGTTACCAATTAGTTGGGCGGGGGGTGTGGGGGGAGCGGAGGGAGGGGTGGCTCAGCGAATCACCTCCTCTGTGGGCTCTTTGGACCAAAACACATTAGACCAATCTGATTGCTGTGGCTTGGCCCGGTAATTGCATTTTAACCCATTGAGCGATGAGACGTCGGTAATTGCATTTTAACCCATTGAGCGATGAGACGTCGTTTAACAAAGGGGGCTCTCGCGCCCGTGGTGTTGGTGGCTGTTTAGTCCTGCGGCCTCGTAACAAATTCCTCTTGCGAAAGCGGCGGAGTAGTGATTAAAGTATAAATGCCGGTCAATGACGAGAGGTTAGTTAATCTGCTCCTTCGAGTTGCAGTGTTTTTGCAAGGCTGAGGAGGAGAGTCCACCTGTGTTTTTTTGGTGTTTTTCTTGGGACGTGCAGATTAATTTTGAGAGCCATTTTAATGAGCGTCTGGCCAGTGGGAGGCAAGGCGATGTTACGGGGGGGGGGGGGGGGGGGGGGGGGACTAGGAGCTAGGGTGGGCCTTGGTGCGGGATGCCTGCTGCATGTCAAGTGTTCAGGCCTAGGAAATTTACATTTTCTCCCTGCTTTCTTCTGCGACAATGGTTTGATTGCATGGCTATTTAACGTCAGAATGTTTTGACACAGATACCCTCTTTGAGTGTTACTTGTCCTTCCCGCGGCCTTATTACCTTACCGTTAACTGCGTGCGGGCTTTGATTGCTTTTCATTGCCTCGCGCTATCCCATAAGTGTGCTTGCACCTGTCCATTGTAAATTTTCGTAGAGTGAATTTTAGAAACAAGACATGTTAAATATTTAGTCGGCTCAATTTATTTGGGGGCAAAGAGGCGACAGTCGTGGGTTTCCGATGTCATTTGTGGATTCAGCTTTCTTTACATCCTCGAGGTACAAACTTTTAAAGAGATATTTTAAAAAAATGGGGCACAAAAAATCCCTACAAAAAATTGCAATACATTTTTTTGCTTATAGACTTCACAATATGTTCTTGAAAAACTTCAGCTTTTCATTGTGTTGTTGTTGCTGCTCTGGAGACGGGGAGATCGCCGCGTCGATGGCATTCGTCGTGATTTCTTACTTAACAGAGTGGGCCGTATGAAGGCGCTCCTCACGGCCCACCCTAAATAGCATCCACTGCACAAACCATGGCAGATGTATTTAGTTTGTTTGGCTATTTATTTATTTATTATTTCGTTTATTTATTTATTTGGTATAGCCCTGTGAGCCATTCGGCTCTTGAATCGGGTGCAACCGCAACAAACAAAAAACAAAAACACGAACAAGAAAACATCTTAAAGTGACTATGGTGACTGTGCAAACAGAAAATCCATGAAAAAACAGCAAAATATTCCTGAAAAAGCACCGTACACCAACGCTGTGTGCAAAAATCCCAGTGGGATGCAGGTCAAACAATAACAACAACCACAATAAAAACTTAGATTAAGGCCATCAGTCTAACTCCGTACTACAACAAAACAAACATGTCCAAACCAAAAAACGTTTTCGAAATCACCAAAAAATAAAGCCATAATTGCAATGTAACAGTGTGATCATAGGGACCAATGGAACATTTAAAACTCTCCAGTGGTGTGCGACTGTGGTCATCCAGAACAGACCGTACAACGTATAACGACGCAATCCCCGATCAACAAAACACGGAGAGAGGCATTGCACCGATGACAAATTCCGCTGCTCCTGACGCAGTTATATCTTGCTCGACCACCTGAATGTGAAGTTGTTGCTCTCCATCTGCGTCAGCCAAAATCTTCTAATTGAGTGTCCAAATCCTTCAGATTATGTTTATTTTGGATGTGTTGTGTTGGCAGAGGGCTTGGTGGATTGCCCTTACTGGGCTTATATGGCCCTCTACAAACCTGTGAACCACACCCTGATTGTTCACGTTATGATGGACAAACAGATTTTCCAGTATTCCACATTATGCTTTGCTGACTGAGGGAGATCGAGAGGGACATTTATTTTACCTCGTAACATTGCTGCAAGAAAAATTGTGAAATACTTAGTATTAATAATATAACATTTGTTGAATACATGAAATTTAGAGCGTGATATGAAACCTGCGTAAAAGCTCAGCGTAATTTTTTTGTTTTAAATGATCAACACAAAAGACATTTATATGACTTTCAGCACCTTCCCAACATCAGGTTGAAGCAAATGTTTTTCAACATCCTTTTTAAGAGCTTATGACGTCCCTCAATATTTGTTTGTAGTGATGCACGCACGCATTTGATTCCGTGATGCACACCTGGAGATTGTGGGCTTTTTGCTTTTTCAGGTTGTAACATCTGCCAATTTGCATTTATTTTACTCCATCGACTGAACCCCCCCCCCACCACCATATAAAGCCACTACATTTTCAGGGGATGGAGAATTTACAGGTTGCAGCAGCTATACATATATACAGTAGATATATATAAAAAAAAGTTGACGCTAAAATGACAATTACGAATGCGGTAATCAACGAGCGCTGATGAAGAAGCGCATCAGAATTATTTACGCGTGTTTTTCGTGTCCGTGGAGGGCGTGATGACACGGCATCATGAGCGTCTTTAGCCCTGCACGCTCAAGAGAAGGCAGCGGGTCCTCAATCAGGGCGTATGGTTCATAGGCCCGGGAGCGCTTTGGTCCGTGGAAGATTACTCTCGGTGTGTATCTGTTACAGAGTGTTTGCGCAGTTGCCTTATTGAATGAAATTAAATTACCAGAGCTTTTTCAACCGTCCATAAACCGTGATTCGTAATTGGTTTCTTTCGAGTTGGGCGATCGTGCGAAAAAAGGCGTGTCGTAAAACCCTCATCCACCCGACACAGACCATTGATAAAAGTGTCACGCGAATCAAGCGCCCCAAATGTATTACCGCTTCGACAGCACCACCGCTGTTGTGATGTATCCACCGAAGCCGATCCGCAGAGAGACACGCCGCAAGTTCTCTTATCTGCGAGTAATGCAAATCCATCGTGAGCGAAGCAACGGTTAACGTTGGCTACATAAGCCAACTAACACCATAAAACAGTGCGATTGCGTACTTAGCTAAATGCACCCGAACAAACATCGTTTGATTCCGTATTCACACACTTCCATACGAGGGGAAAATCGTTTTTTGAGGGGGGTGGCGGAAGAGACGGGGAGCGTGTCAGCGACCGACTATGAAAACAGGATTTAACGTAAGTACCAAATCCCTGTTTGTCAGACTGAACAAACTCTTTACATTTTGAGTGGAAATCTGCAAACTCATACACTTTCTCCTCCGATTAGCACGGTTCAACGTTCCCGTATTCATATATTTCTTAATATCGTTCTTGAGGTACGTCTTCACTTGTATACAGCTACAAAAAAAAAGAAGGCAGCATGCGAGGCGGTAGTCAGGCCGACGTGATACGCTACGCATTGGGCAGTGTTCATCTCTCTCGACAGTTTTAGCGCTGAAAATTCCACATTCCTGTGGCAGGAGGGAGTCTGTCAATAGGACAGTCACTTTCAACTTCACGCCAAGCAGCTGCATTGATTTTTATGTCCTCTGACAGAGTTATAGGCTGAGTGGATAGCGACTGGGAATTCAACTTACGACATTTGGCAGAGAGAAATTGTTCACGTGAGCTATTCTCTCTGTTGTTTATATAACGCAGCCTCCAGTGAAAGCCCAGCGCTGGGGGAAAAAAACCCTGGCATACATTCATAGTAATGAAGCGCACCACTCCAGAAACCACAACAACAACAACAACAACCTCCATTCGCCACTAAGTGGCGGTGACATCACCACGACGCTTGTGCCCAGGCCATGTGCACCTTGAGGCCACGTGAAGTGTCGAACGCCCGCTGGCAGGAGGAGGTCACGGGGCAGACCCAGGTGCCACGGGTCGACTGACTGAGATGACTGAGATGACTGGCTGATGCACCACCA